ACTTGGCAGCAGACAAAGAGCCTCCCCACGGAGCGGACAAGGGCCGCCTGCAGCACCGGCAGCGGAACTCTTCGGCTGCATGTGCAGCTCCAGCAGCAGCAGCTGTTGCTGTTGCTGCTGCTGCTGCTGCTGCTCCGTCTCTCCTGAAGAGCTGTTGCGTAGCAAACGCAGCAGCTATCACACTCTGTGCTGCTGCTGCTGCTGCTGTTCGCCCCTTGAGAAGCAAAAGTCTTGGACACTGCAGGAAACACCTGCGAACAAAACAGCAGCCACAGCAGCTGCAGCAGCAGCAGCAGTGGAAACAGCAGCAGCAGCAGCAGCAGCAGAGCCTCCTTGCTTTTTTGTGTCTTTCTTTTTCTTTTTTATCTTCTTGCTGCTTTACCTTCTCCATAAGATGCTCCAGCGCTTCTGCTGCTGCTTCTTCTCCCATTGTCTCGCAGTGCGACAGCAGCAGCAGCAGATGCAGCAGCTGCTGCCGCGGTTCCAACTGTTGCTGTTGCTGCTGCTGCTGCTGCTGTTGCGCACTCTCCTCCGGACCGACAGCCAGCTGCAGCAGCAGCAACAGCAATGGCGAGGTAGCAGCAGCAGCGACAGAAGCATGCACGAATTGACAAGGACCCAGCAGCAGCAGCAGCAGCAGCACCAGCAAGACAAGCATTTAGCTTCTTACCCTCAACGCAGTATCATGGATAGCAGCAAGCCTTCTTCTGTGGCTCTGAGTCAGCAGCAACACGAGTTCTTCTTCAGGGCCTGGTGCTGCTGCTGCTGCAGCTGCTGCTGCTGTTTGCTGTACTTCGGCAAGCCTTGCTGCCAGGGAGAAGCCAAGGTCCGCAGGCAGTTGCTGCAGAAGCGGCCAGACACAAACCCAGTCTAGACTGCAGCAGCAGCAGCAGCAGCAGCAGCAGCAGCCAACAAAAGCCGCAGAAGGAGTACCCGCAGCAGCAGCAGCATCTGCCAGACACACACCCAAGCTCAACTGCAGCAGGAGCAACAGCAGCAGCAGCAGCCAATAATAACCGCAGAAGAAGTACTCGCAGCAGTAGCAGCAGCATGGCTGCCCTTGTCTGCTGCTGCTTCCGCGCTGCTTACTTAATCCTCTTCCGCTTATGGCCAGTACGTTGCTGCTGCTGCTGCTGCTGCTTCGCTGCACTCACCTTTCCTTTTGTTTCTTCTTCAATAGCCTCTGCTGCTTTAAGCACCTGCAGCCAAAGCGATGTTGGCGCTGCTGCTGCTGCTGCTGCTGCTGCTGCTGCTGGTAGTGCGCAGGAGCTGCTGCTGCTGTCGCTGTTTACGGCGCAGGCTTTAAGCAGCTCGGCAGCCAGAGCAGCAGCAGCAGCAGCAAACGACAATTCCTCAGCCTCGTAATCGCTGACGCTGCTGCTGCTGCTGTTGCTGCTTCTGCTGCTGCTGCTGCTGGCAACGAGCATCGCCGCCAGTCGCAGCGGCACTTGTGGCTGGCCTACAGCAGCAAAAGGCAGCAGCAGCAAGTCAGCAGCACCAAAATGAAGTTACTGGTGGATATATATATATAGATGTAACAGCAGCAGCAGCAGCAGCAGCAAAGCAACAGCAACAGCTGCAGTCTATGAACGATCTTGCAGCCAGATCACTTCAGCGCTGCAGCAACAGCAACAGCAGCAGCATCAATAGTACTACTTATGGTGAGCCGCGATGGTGCTGCTACTGCTGCTGCTACTGCTGCTGCTACTGCTGCTGCTACTGCTACTGCTACTGCTGCTGCTACTGCTGCTGCTACTGAGGCTGCTACTGCTGCTGCTACTGCTACTGCTGCTGCTATTGCTGCTGCTCCTGCCGCTGCTACTGCTGCTGCTGCTACTGCTGCTGCTGCTGCTGCTACTGCTGCTGCTGCTACCACTGCTGCTGCTGCTGCGTACCTGCACGAATGCAGCGAGCGGCCCACTGCAGCGCAAGGCTTTTGCAGTGTACGTACACCCGGCAGTCGCTACGTGCTGCGCCCAGCAGCAGAGGCCCCTGCTGTCGCTGCTGCCGCTGCTGCTGCTGCTGCTCTCCAAGCAGCAGCAGCGGAGCGAGTAGCAG